TTTAAAGTAAAGATAAAATGAATTGTGTGAAGAATCACATTTCTAACAAGGCACTGTTAGTGGTATCTTGAATGATCGTCAGGAGAGTTGGCCTATCCACTAGGTGAAATTACTTTTCTCTGATCTTTTGGTGATTGACTTGACTTTCATTAACAGAATATTAATCACAGATAGCTTAACACTGGGAACAGTCAACACTTTTTTTTTTTTATTTGTAATAGGGGATATTGATCTTATATGGTCCTAATTCTTCTACATGTAAGGATAACTTGGCATCTTAGAAATATGCTTGCTGTAATTACCTGACTTATGTGAAAAGCTAATTCATCTCCACTTTGTAGCTACCAGTTATATGTACTTAGAATGGGGAAGGGGGGGCAGATTTGGCTGTTCGGCTTGAGGCCAGGTAGTTTCTCTATGGTAACCACAATCTCAGTATTGGCATCTAGGGCTATTCTGTCTTGTTCCTTACAGACAGAACTGGTAGATAAAAGAGCATTGCTAGACAAGGGTCCGAGCATATCTCACCAACACCCCCTTAAAGCCTAAAGCCAGAGTTACTGAATTATTTAATTCTAGAGCTAAAGGAGAACTTTAAGATCATTCCCGTAAACAAAAATTTTAGACCTGAGGAAACACTGTAGGCCAAGAGAAGAAACCTGAACAAGATCTCAAAGCGCCAGTTAATGAGTTGTAAAAAATGAAAACTTGGGATGGGGCTGGGGGGGAGTGGGGGTACAACTCTCTGCTTTTTTATGTTTCAATTGTTTTTGTTGTTTTATTCTTAAATCTTTATTTTCTTTCTGTAGGAAGAGGGCAGAATCCGACTCTAGAAAGAGCAGCATACCGAACAGTAAGGAGGTCCCTTCACACCACCCAACAGACCCAGTAGAACTGAGGCGCCTTAATTTTCAAACTCCGGGTAAGCGACACAGCACATCTTAGCCATAGGACACTCTCCTCAGAAAGTGTCATAGCCCAGTGGATATTATCTTGAGAGTTGGATATATCACCTTGTTTTGAACCGTTTTGTTCATCCTCCTTTTTTATTTTAATATCGTTGAGACTCGCCCAAGCTAAGTCTGAAAGGAAATTGAGCTCTTTGTGCAAATCTGAAGTGGGGTGAGGAAGAGAAATGTAATTCTTCTTCAAATTTTGGAGGAACTATAGTCTTCGTAAGAATATCTCCCCCTTTTATGGGCTTGACACAGTTTATTATTTTTAGTGACACCAGTCAGGAAAGAATTCAGATTCTCATTTTATAAAGTGAATGCATGAATGAGCAGATAAACATATACATCTTTCATCCCATTGGGAAAGCATAGATTTCTTTTGTATTTTCCTATTTATTTCAGTTTATGGTGCTCAGAAAGAAAGAGGGAGGGAGGGTACAAAGAAAGAAGGGAGGAAAAGATCGAAGGAAGGAAAAATGAGGCGAAATTTTATATCTTTTAGAATACTTCCTATGTTAAATCTCACCGATCATTCAGGTTTCTTAGTAGGGAGACATGTAAAGTGACTAAGGATACAAAATATATGCTTGTTTTTTTATAAATAAAGAACATTGCGTGCTTCAACAGAGGAAAAATTCTACTCTTGCTGAGGGCCATTTTGTACAATGTTGTTAATTAATGCCTAGATCTATTTTTCTTTCTATTAACTAAAGCTTGTTTATACCAAATGAACAGGAAATAATAAATGGAAGAGGGAGCTAAAAATATAAAACCGAGTGGCACTGTCTTAATACCTTATCTGAATAAACAAAGAGCTAATCTAAGAAGACTTTGGGATTAATATTTCATTGTAGTATTGTGCCCCAAATTGCTGGCAGGTTTCTTTTGTGTCAAATGGGTGTTCTCACAGTATGATACACCACAGATTTATTAAACTATGCATTCACAGTGAATTGCTTTAAATTAGAAATACATGATTGATTATGCTTAGCATATTTTCTATTTTACATGTAGATGTATCATGGTAACTAGTAACTTTTCCTTTGAAAGAATTTTTTAGCCTTTTCAAAGTGGCTGTACCATCATTATAAATGTGTTTTTTAAAAAATCTAACCCCGGGCCGGCCCGGTGGCGCACTGGATAGTGCGCCGCTTGGGAAGCGCGGCGGCGC